GGCCCAAACAGTTCTAATTTTGTTTCATCAGTCCACAGAACACTATCCCACAACTTTTGTGGTTTGTCCACATGGCTTTTGGCATACTGCAGTCGACTCTTCTTATTCTTTGGAGACAGCAAGGGGGTACGCCTGGGAGTTCTGGCACGGAGGCCTTCATTACGCAGTGTGCGTCTTATTGTCTGGGCTGAAACTTCTGTACCCACATCTGACAAATCTTTTCTCAGTTCCTCAGCAGTCACACGGGGACTTCTCTCCACTCTACGCTTCAGGTAGCGCACAGCAGTCGAAGTCAGCATCTTCTTTCTGCCACGACCAGGTAGCGTTTCAACAGTGCCCTTTGCCTTGAATTTGCGAATGATGCTTCCTAAGGTGTCTCTTGGTATGTTTAACATCTTTGCAATCTTCTTATAGCCATTGCCCTTCCTGTGAAGAGAAATCACCTCTTCTCTTGTCTTCCTGGACCATTCTCTTGCCTTCACCATGTTTGTAACCACACCAGTAAATGTCTAGAAGGAGCTGAGTATCACAGTCATTTTAAAGCTGCCTAATTGGTGCTTATTATGCTTGATTGCTGCTCGGTGACATCCACAGGTGTTTTCAATACCTGATGGAAAGCACCTGTATGAACCTCTGTTCTTCAGAGTGGTAGTCTTTAAGGGGTTGAATAATTGTGGCAATGAAGAAACCACATAAGAACCCATTTACTACTGTATTACATAAACAATTGATGTCATTTTAGTTGCATTTGGGTAGTTACAACGTCCTTGTAGGATTTGATTCTGAATACAATTCCAAATGTACACTATAGTCCCTAAACCCCTTTACAGCATTGGGGGTTGAATAATTTTGGCCACAACTGTATATCGCCATTTGCAGACGCTGTAACTTTCACATAAATCAATTAATATACACTTATTGGGGTTTTCTTTTTAGCAAAGACATGTTGCAGAACATATTTTGGCCTAAATTTATGAAGAAATTAGATTTTTTAATTTTTATATTGAATATGTTTTATAACAAAATGTAAAAAATATCTTTTTTTTCAAAATTGCCAGTCTTTTTTTGTTTATAAAAAAATAAAAACGCAGAGATGATCAAATGCCACCAAAAGAAATCTCTATTTGTGGGGAAAAAAGTACTTAAATTTCATTTATGTACAGTGTTGCATGACCGCGCAATTGTCATTTAAAATAACGAAGCTCCGTATTGCAAAACAAATTGCCTGGCCAGGAAGGGGGTAAGTGGTTAAGGTGGTAATTAAACTCATTTAAAGCTTTATGTGTATTTAATTAGCCTCAGAACCTGTGTAATTAATATGTGTTCGGATTTAAAGGGATGAGGTGGCAACCCTAGTTTGTCACCAACCCATGAGCGTGCACAATTTTAAAGCGTGACAAGTTAGATATTTATTTACTCAGTGTAACATCATCTTTTATACTTTGCTAAAAAAATTGGGCTATATATTATGTTTTTTGTGTTAAAATTCATTAAAGTGTATTTTCGCCTAAAAAATTTTATTTGAAAAATCCCTACGCAAATATATCGTGTGATATAAAAAGTTGCAGACCTCCTTTTTATTCTCTAGAGTCTCTGGTAAAAATATATAAATAACGTTTGGGGGTTCTCAGTAATTTTCCACCAAAAAAAATGATAATTTTTACATGTAGAAGAGAAAGGCCAGAATCGGCCTGGGTGGGAAGGTAATAAATCAAGCAAACCCAAATAACTCACAATTCCATGATACTCTGTGCTAGCAGAAAATGGATGTGCCTTACCTTTTTCACCAAATAGCCTTCTCTTATTTTCTGTGGCTCCCTCTCCATTTTTCTCTCCTTCTCACAAGACAGTTTTTTTGGTTGTGACAGATAAAGCAATGGTTTATTTTCCGTGCAGCTTTCACAAGAATGAGTAAGTAGCCAATCAGAGTCATTGCTGTGAGTTTCCTCATTCAGAGGTTGCATAGAGGAAGCGATGTAACAACAGTTTTTGTTCGGGTTACTTTTTCAGAAAAGATCTTTGTCAGAATATTACAAAGAATGTGGAAGAAAAACAAGAATTTGATGTTAATATAACAGTACGGGGGATTACCAGGGCCCAGAATCCCCACCTTGGGTCAGGAACACTGAATACACACAAAACAGTACAACACAATTCCAAACAGGTTATAAACACCTAAAATACTTCCTTTGTTGAAATGAGGTGCATTTGTTTAGTGAAATGTCTCTTATATAGATTCAACAGGATTTCTACAAGTATCCAGTATAACTTCTTGCTCTTGTTGAGTTGAATGACGCTGGGGGGAGCTGCCTTTTTATTTTTATCCACCGCTGGAGGAGCAAATTTCGTTTAGCACTTGGATGTTTATTAATTTTATTGGCCAGAGTACTTGCTACTGAAATGAATAAACTTCCAAGTGCTAAACGCGGCTAGCGCTTAGGCACTGAAATTACTTAGGCACTGAAATCGCAATGTCATTCCGGTTTCTGTGCAATTTCAATGCAGTTTGATTTTGCCAGCTCTCTCTGCCTCCCATTGACTTAAATGCAAAATCGCATTTCATTGACTTCAATGCAAAATTGCCTCCAATTGACTTTAATCCAAAAACACCTCCCATTGACTTCAGTGCAAAAACTCGTTTCTGCCATGTTTGGAGGTTTATGGCCACAATGTTCCTCTCCTGAATGCAATTGTTCTGCATTCAGGAGAGGGCTCTTTAACTGCCCCTAAACTCTGCTGCTGCTAAACTCTGATAAAATCCTATCTGTGCATGGACACATAGGCTTTTATTGAGTTGAGTTCAGAGGCTTTGGCCCAAAAAAAAGCCAAAAGCTCCTAAACTTATGTTCATGAGAAGCAGTGTACATGAGACCTAACAGTGTTCCTCTCACCCAGCTTCAAGTAAAACCCAAGAACTGATTTAGCACTGCAAAACTATCCAGAAATTGTGTAAACAGTAGTGGATAATAAATATTAAATCAGTGCAATAAATAAATGTGGACCAAAAACAATGTCCTATAATTAAATACATACAGTTCATAAATATTCAAAACCGTGTTCCAAGTATATCTTCTGTGGGAATAAAACCACCTTGTGAAACTCGCTCCACCACCAGTAGCAGCTCACTGTAAACTTTGATCAACTAATATTCACCTGTCCATTTAAGGGAAAATTTCTGCAATATTTTACACAGTTGGACTTCTTTCATGGAGCAGATGAACCTTTTATTCAATCCCATAATTCCACTGGCTCCACCCTTTACACCCCTTAGGCTATCCCTTTGAGGAAGCCAGGTTGGATGGCGTAATGCATAAGGGGCGGAGCTGGTGATGAAAGGATGTGATCTGAAGCAGACTCCCCATAGAGAATTTATGGGGCATTGCCAAGAGAAAGATGAGAGACATGAGGCCGAACAATGCAGAAGAGCTGAAGGCCGCTATTGAAGCATCCTGGTCTTCCATAACACCTCAGCAGTGCCACAGGCTGATAGCTTCCATGCCATGCCGCATTGAGGCAGTAATTGCTGCAAAAGGAGCCCAAACCAAGTACTGAGTACATATGCATGCTTATACTTTTCAGAGGTCCAATATTGTTCTATGTACAATCCTTGTTTTATTGATTGCATGTAATATTCTAATTTTCTGAGATTGTGGATTTGGGGTTTTCATAAGCCATAATCATCACAATTATGACAAATCACGGCTTGAACTATCTTGCTTTGTATGTAATGAGTCTATCTCATATATTAGTTTCACCTTTTAAGTTGCATTACTGAAATAAATGAACTTTTGCACGATATTCTAATTTTTCGAGTTTCACCTGTATTGTCTGCTAACTGGCCATTACAAGAAGAAAAGAGGCATCTACTGCTTTCCTGCCCACCAAAAAGTCCAACAGCTCCACCCACCATTTCGTATATATCCTGATTCTAAAGTATTAGTGGCAGGAAAAGGTCACCAAGCAATCTTGAGGTAAGACCTTTAAATAATAGGACAGTACATCCCACTACACTTGCTCATTTTGTTGTTGTTTTATGGTGGTGTTTTTTTTTTTTTTTTACAGATTGACAGAAATATACTTTTTTATGTCAAAATCAAAACAAGTTTCTGCAAAGTTATTTGAATTAAAGTGTTATTAAACCCACAGCAGTAAAATCAGTCTGTATATGCAGTAAAGCATGCTTGTTATACTCACTGTGGAATCTAAAAAGGCTGTTTGATCCTGTCTTCTCTGATACTCCCCTTCTTTTACTGTCCTCAATTCATCTGCTTATAGTACAGAGCTCTAGGAGTCACTTTGCACATGCTCAGTTTGGTGTGCATTGCTAGAGAGTTTGCGAGAGTGCATGTGATCAGCACAGGACCAATCAGCACTGTCCAGACAGAGGTCAGGGGTCATTCAGACTTAGAACAGTCAGAGGAGAATGAAAACTCCTCCTACAAGCTTTAACCAGTGTCCAGTAACAAGACTGCTATATACTGCTGATAAGAAAAGGTATTTAACAGTTTATATTTACTAACATAATTGCATTTCCATGTTCTGTGTACTTTGGGAGACCAGATATTGTGAATGCAGGGTCCTGGGTATAGTATCACTTCAATTACAATAAAAAACTCAAACAGCTCCTTCAGCTCAGTATAAAAGAGGAACTTCGCCCAGCTCAAGTACTGTAGCTGCTGACTTATTAAAAAACAAATTCTTATCAGCCTATGAATTCTTCGTCACCATTATTCGACTGATTCATACATTAGTGTTCATCATCTGTATTTCACATGATGATGATTTATTAATGGGAGTCCTTATAATTATGAATAATGAAAAACAGATAACTTTCTGTGATTTTTTTTCCCTGCAGGCTTTGGTTTAAAATACTTGTCCATTGGACTGAACTGAGGTCCCAATCTACTTGTCCTGATAAAAAAAAAAAAAATATATATATATATATATATATATATATATATATATATATATAATAAACCAAAACCGTATTTAAAGTGCTACTAAACTCACAACAGTAAAATCAGTCTATATATGCAGTAAAGCATGCTTGTTATACTCACTGTGGAACCTAAGGAGTTAATTCCCTGCATTGTATAAAAACTCTGCTTGATCCTGTCTTCTCTAATCCTCCTCTTCTTCCAGCGTCCCCCTCTTACCTCCTGATAAGACATATCGTGTGGAGTCAGTCTGCGCTTGCTCACTTTGGTGTGTATTGCTAGAGAGGTTTTTTATTTTCTTAGGAGAGTGCATGTGACCACTACAGGGCCAATCAGTAATGTCCAGCCAGAGGTCAGGGGTTCTGCATCCTCCTAGCAAAATCAAAACTCCTCCTACAAGCTTTAAACAGTGCTTGGCTGGACTCGGATAGAAGTCACAAGACTGCTCTAACTGCTGATGAGAAAAGGTATTTTCTCTCCTCCAAACACGACAAGCAGGGGGACACGTCTGGCACTGCAGGATCTGAGTACCTGGTGGCATAGTGTGTTACTGATGGTAGCCTTTGTTACGTTGGTCCCAGCTCTCTGCAGGTCATTCACTAGGTCCCACCGTGTGGTCCTGGGATTTTTGCTCACCGTTCTTGTGGTCATTTTGACCCCACGGGGTGAGATCTTGCGTGGAGCCCCAGATCGAGGGAGATTATCAGTGGTCTTGTATGTCTTCCATTTTCTAATGATTGCTCCCACAGTTGATTTGTTCACACCAAGCTGCTTGCCTATTGCAGATTCAGTCTTCCCAGCCTGGTGCAGGTCTACAATTTTGTTTCTGGTGTCCTTCGACAGCTCTTTGGTCTTCACCATAGTGGAGTTTGGAGTGTGACTGTTTGAGGTTGTGGACAGGTGTCTTTTATACTGATAACAAGTTCAAACAGGTGCCATTGATACAGGTAATGGGTGCAGGACAGAGGAGCCTCTTAAAGAAGAAGGTACAGGTCTGTGAGAGCCAGAAATCTTGCTTGTTTGTAGGTGACCAAATACTTATTTTTTTCACACCATAATTTGCAAATACATTCTTTCCAAATGAGCCAATGTGATTGTCTGGATTTTTTTTTCTAATTTTATCTCTCATAGTTGAGGTCTACCTATGATGCCAATTACAGGCCTCTCTCATCTTTTTAAGTGGGAGAACTTGAACAATTGGTGGCTGACTAAATACTTTTTTGCCCCACTGTACATTGTGCATCCCTGAGATCTAGTTTGAATTAGCTGTGTAATGTATTCATAGGCACTCCTTACATGAGTACCTATAGCATTGATCACATAACTATGATGTAAAACATGAAGGATATATATATAAGGACAAAACCAAGAGATTTAACTAACAAGAGTAGACCCCCATCAGTATCACCCATCTTTCATGCTGAGTATCCATGACTGAAAGAACTGAAATCCAATTGAATGAAAGAAGAAGGCCCAAACTGTGGCATTTCTGGTTGTGAGTTCACTCACTGTCTCAGTTTGTTCATCACCTCTCTGAAGTATATAAAAAGGGTCACCCTACTGTGGCAGGCATTGGGTCGCTTTTGGAGAGACTGGGACAGTAGGCAGATGCCCACTTCCACCATTAGTGTGTCATTTGCTTGGTGTTATTAAGAGAACAAATCCGTCTCACATAAATTACAATGGGATAAAGGTTATTTCAGGGTGACCCTGGATATGGAGGCCATTTACTCTTCTATACCTTTTCATTTAGCATTAAGAGCTCTGTGATATCATCTGGATGGATATAGAACCTATAGTGGAGAATTACAAACCTTTCTCCTAATGGCCGTGGAGTTCTTGCTCACCCACAATTATTTCTTGTTTGATGATGACAACTATCTGAAAAGATGTAGGGCTTCAACTGGGCAATTTTTTTGCCTTCACTTGCCAACCTTAATATAGATTTGTGGGTGAAACTCCGCAACTTTGCATATGGGAATTCATTCTTGGATGATTTATTATGGTTTTGGGTGCTATATAGACAAACATTTGGTTGTTTGGAAAGGTCCTCTTGACAATTCAAATTTGTTTATTGACTATGTTAATGATAATGAGTTAAATTTCTCATTTACATGTAATTTTTGGGGGGTTTTAACTTGAAGGGAAACTCTGAGACTAGTTCCATTTTTATTACTATTTTCTGGAAACCTTTGGAAAGTATTTCCTTTTGCAGAACCTCTAGTTGCTATCCTAGTCATACAATCAGGGCTATCCCCATGGGTGGGTGCTGCACAACTGATCAACTAAGGAGGTTTTTGATGAGGAAGTGAATTGTCACATCTTATTTGAAAACTAGAGGTTACCCTGACTGGCTTAATAACAAAAGCAAACAGCTTGGGAATGTGTGTACAGTTAGTTCTCCAGCAGTCTGTTCAGGCTGGGGAAGGGTTAAACATATTCGGCTCAGCTTTTGGTTTTAGCGGGCCCACCTGTTATGTAAGGAGGGGGAAGCCTGAGATTGAGGGATCCGGAGAACAGGACATGGGTATAGGTGGATCGTAGACTCGCCTGTAAGCGCAAGCGTGGCGCTGAAGAAAATCAGTATCAGGTGGGATATTAGTCTGTTTTTAAAATTAACCACTTGCCCTCCAGAGGATTTACCCCCCTTAATCACCAGGCCTCTTTTGCTACTCGGCGCTGCACTAATTCAACTGATAATTGCGCGTTCATGCAATGCTGCACCCAAACGAAATTTACGTCCTTTTTTTCACACAAAAATAGAGCTTTCTTTCGGTGATACTTGATCACCTGTGCACTTTTTATTTTGCACGCTATAAACAAAAAAAGACCAAAAATTTTGAAGAAAAACAATATTTTTTACTTTCAGCTGTAAAAAAATATATAGTAAACTCAAAGTTAGTTATAAATTTAGGCCAAAATGTATTCTGCTACATGTTTTTGGTAAAAAAAATCCCAATAAGTGTATATTGATTGCTTTGTGTGAACGTTATAGCGTCTACAAACTATGGTATAGATACTGCAATTTACGCAATTTTTTTTGCTATACAGCACTGCGCTAGTTTAATAGACAATTGCGCGGTCATGCAATACGGTACATAAATAAAATTTACATCCTTTTTTCCCCACAAATTGAGCTTTCTTTCGATGGTATTTCATCGCATGTGTGTTTTATATTTTTTGCGCTATAAAAAAAAAAAGTCTGACAATTTTGAGGAACGAAAAACCAATATTTTGGACTTTTTGCTATAAAACATGTCCAGTAAAAAAAAATTGAAAAATCAAATTTAGTCATAAATTTCTGCCAAAATGCATTCTGCGACATGTCTTTGCTACAAAAAACCCCAATATGTGTAAATTAATTGGTTTACGTGAAAGTTATAGCGTTTACAAATGGCGGGAAAGATACTGGGATTTTTAAATTTTTTTTTATACTAATAATGGCGGCGATCAGCGACTTATGGCGGCGATCAGTGACTTATGGCGGCGATCAGTGACTTATGGCGGGACTGTGGCGGATATTCTGACACTGGGGGGGGAACTGACTTGGGGTCACTGACATCCCCAGTGACACCAATACAGTGATCAGTGCAAAAAAAAAACACTGACACTGTACTAATGGCACTGGGGAGGAAGGGGTTAACTTTATTATTCAGTGAAAGGGTTAACTGTGTGAGGGGAGTGGTTTACTAGGGGGCGGGGGTGTGTACTGCAGGGAACTCTTCTGTCCCGATCAGCGTGTCAGGAGCTGTCAGGGAACTGACAGAAAGCACAGCTACTTCAGCTGTGCTCTCTGTCACTGATTGCCGCTAATTGCCGAGACATAGCCGGTAATGACTGGCTGTGACCCGGCGACTGACATCCGCGGATGTGATAGGCGGGACAGGTAGGGCCGCGGCGCACCTCGCGCGCCCCCTACCTGTTTTAAAAACACACGTTTTAAAACGTGGTTTTGCCCAGCCGTGCCGCCCTGCCGCCGTATTTCTACAGTGGCTAGGCGGCATGTGGTTAAAGTTGCTTTATCTTGTTTCATTTGGTCTCTGTCTAGTTGTAATGTTATGACTGCTGAGAAGCCTAGGCTCATTTATGGCCAACTAATAAACCAATACCTTGGGTCCCAAAAAGACACAGAAGTTGATTAAGTTGGAAATAGGTAAGGCCACAGCTTTATTTAACTTTCAAAATGTACCAAACAACAATGCCAGTCACAGTTATACTGCGAGCACCCATAAAATATAAACTCACATAGTCTAAGAGGCCTGTCCTTACCATCAGTACCAGACAAGCATTAGACTGGCTCCTGAATTTAATTTGAGGGCATAGCCCATAAAGCAGCATCCATTGCTACCAAGGTCAAAACCGCCAATAAAGCTGTGACAAAACATCAGGTGGGAGGTTGGGCAATTCTTGAGATAACTGAATCTCCTCAGAGCAGTTGGACGTGCCCCAATGCAGCCTTTTTATAGAATTCAGGCCCCACCCTGTCGCCTCCTGTCTTTGTAGCCAATCCTAATAGAGAGATTTAACTTCCCTTTTAGGTTCACACCCACAGTGACGCCATGCTTCCAACAGTCAAGGTTCCTTTTCCCTAACCCCTGGTTATCTGTTCGGGTGGTGCTGTTGCGGGACCTGCACAAATACCTGCAGCTGCACCACCCGCGCAGAGGAATGCAGGACCCACAGGCAGGTGTCATTAATTCTATTGGCACGTCACCCACACTGGAAATCGCAATCGTACTGGGAACCCAGTTCGGCTGCAATTTCCAAAGTAGTGAAGGGACCTCTTCCCTGTGTGTCCCGGAGCATGGGAGTCCATTCATATGAATGGACTCTCGTGTCTGCGCAAGTTGCGGCAGGCCCGCACGACCACACATATGTGAACCAGGGCTAAAGGAAGTTCAAGGAGCCTTCATTATATCCCCTCTGATTTTGGTACCAACTTCTCACTCTCTTCCTTTTGCTGTCATACTTTTGCTTTTTATTCTTTTACTTTTTTTTAGTGTCTTGCATGTACTGCCCCCACAAGTGGGGGATTTTTTTTAACAGTGCTCCAGGGTCCCACAGCTATGACTAAGGCTGCATAGGCGGAAATGTGTCAGCAGTTGTATTTTGTGTGCAGGATGTGTTTCTAACAAAGACATATCAGAGGTGAGGCTGTGTTTTGGCATTTGGTATTTCTCAATTATCTCTTCCTAGGTAGAGGGATTTCTACTGAGCCCTGCTAATGGAGTGTGGGGTTTAATGGGAGGGTGAACAATGGTTTCCAGTCAGAGACAGTCGGCCTGGAGAGGAAATGGTTAGATGATGCTGGACGTCCTTTAACCAGGAAATGAAGTGTGCTCTATCTGACATGCAACAGATTCTAATGTACTCTGA